CCCCCCCCCAAACAGGTTCTCTCAGGTAGGTAGAGAATTGAGGGAGGTGGGTGGTAGAATATTTTGCTATGACAAAGAATAAGAACTTGTTTTAATTTTTGCCTAAATTTGGCAGTTAATGTTAGAGTTGTTAATTGGTTTATGCACTATGCATTAATATATATATATATATATATATATATATATATTAGCCACTTCTTAGAGGAGTTACGAGTGTGTCATCTTATTGCCGCCTTGGTTACTGCGTGTCATTAAATTCAGCTTTTGTCGATTTTGTATTTCAGAAAGTACCTTTAGATGAATTTGAATGAAAAGCTTAGACATCATTTTCTGTAAGACTTTTTACGCTGTCTCTTCTTAATTGTAATTATAATTTTACTGTTTGTCAGAAATTCTTTATTCTGAGTCCCATGTGGCTAAAAACACAGCAAAATTGGAGTCATCAGACTATTTTTTTCCACCCAATAGTTACCATTTATGTGAAGGAAAATCTATTATCTTTAAGTTGTGAAAAAATCGATATTATTTAAGAGTATCTTGAAATCGAAATGATTTAATTTGCTTATTGGGCCTTGACGTTCTTAAAACTCGATAATGTGACGCTGATTTTTCTTTACTTCCCGACACTATTAGCTTCTGTTTCTAATCGACGGCACACTCGTTTTTGACTTCTATCTCAGCTATAGATTACATTTTCTCTTGTTAAATGAGTGAGTAGATTGTACTCATTTGAGCAAAAAGGGAGTCATTTTATATCTCACAGTGAGATTTGTTTGAGTTCTCTTTGGATAGGCTAGATATTTCTTCAATCCTTACTGAACTCAAATCTAAATTTCTTTAAAAACAGCAATTGAAATGCCACGTGTTAATTTACTTATCACTAATTTCTTCGAGATCTATTGTTTACGTTTTCCCTGCAATAAATACTTGGCGTTAATGAGCAAAAGAAGCCGTTTTCACTTATCTCTTCACTTGAAAAGTTTGGGCAAGGATTATCTGTACTTTGTTTTACTTCATCAACTGGAACATTGCAAAATTTTTTTTCGGTTTTAAAATGTAAATCAATCAAACATAGAAGCAACTGCCTCTAGTTGAAAAAATACCCGAAAAGAAGAAGGTCTCAAAATCGAATTGTGAATCACTTCATTCAGACTTTCCAAATGAAGATGGGGTGGTGTTGGCTTGAATTAAGCCTGATCACAATTAAAAGCTGACATCGTAATTATTCCGGAGCTTGGATGATGCTGGATCTCCCAACTTCTCCAACTTACTCACTCACTCACTGACTTAATCTTATATCTCTCTATGCTATTATATGTTTCCTTATAACTAAAAGTTAGGAAACTCGTTTCTTCTCTATCGGGGAATATAAATAACTGAAAGTTATGCTAAACAACAATAATTCATCTTTTATTCTCACATCTTTATTAAAATTGGCTCATTTGAGTGTTGGTGGGTGGCGAAAGCTAGCTTTATGTATGTGTGGCTTTGAGTTCTGCCCGGTGGTCTTTATTGTTCTTACCCCCTTCCTCTCCCTTCCCCCCCCCCCCCCCAACTAAGCTTGCTCTCTTGCCTCATTCCCTCAAATACCACACACATGAACGCATATCAATAGTATCTAGAGTACAATAACATCCTATACTTGCCCATCTTCCTACCTGCCCTCCTACCTACCACTTAGTTTATGGCTTTTTCTCTAAATATTTGGCTACATTTCTTTCTGATGGTGTTACTATTCTTAATAGCTTCCCTTTGTTAATTTATATGCTTCGATTTGCTCTAAATACTTTCTCTGGTCCATTAAAACTTGATATATTTTTAAAATCGTTCTTCTTCCTTTTGCTTTCTTTCTAACATTTTTTGGTACGCTTCCATGGCAGTCGTTTAAACTACCTCAATTAATCGAATTCTTATCTGATTATCGCGAACTTTTGCACGAAAGGCTATTTCTGTAGATAGAAAAGAAATTCCCAATGTTGAGTAGCACTTTTAGTACTTATTCAACTTATTACTTTGAAGAGCAAAGTTCTTACAGTTGTCAAGGAGCCATCTAGTTTATTTATTTATTTGCTTCCATTGAAAGTAAACGTACTTTCTTCATCTACTACTAAAAATAGGCACACTATCTCGATAAGTCTATCCACAATTTTCAATGCTCATATACTTCCTGAAATAATAAGTGGATTCTGTTATATTTTAGAAATTTGTTCAAAATAAGCCTTTTTCTTTGCATTCCATACTTCTAATTCGATGCCCTAAAATTCGCCCCTGAAAACGAGGACACTGGTAGGGGGATAATAATTTGAAATCCGAATCGCGTTGTCCTAGTTCTCTAATCCCTCCTTATTATAATATATTGCGCAGTTTTTTGTTCTTTTTTTCCATAATTACAATAAGGGGCGATCGGATAAAGTCCTGTTCATCTTTACCCCGAATAAACCAATTTACGGCACTTTCGCCGCCGTACTTTGTGCAGTGAAGGAAGAGCTTACACAACTAACTCTGCCTCCTACTTCTTTTGAATATAAACACAACGGTGATTGTTTCAGGCGCACCAAATAAAATTGACGTGTTTTTACCGAAATTCCGCATGGGGTCTTCGATCTCATTTACTTCCTGTAAAGGAAGAAAAAATGAGCTCCTTCGCTCATCGGTAATGTCTGGTTCAGACTTTTCCGAAAAAAGGTGGAGAGTAACGCCGACTTTAGAGTCATTTTTTTAGAAAAAAAACTGAAATTTGTTTTTTTCTGAACCGACTGAATGAGGCCAGACATTGAGCTGCATTTCGGGGTATGTGGTATGCAGAGAATGACGATTGCTGTAGAAATTTTGGTATATGGCTTTTCGCCCACATTTGATGGGGGTATTTAATTTGTTTCTTTTCTTCCTCACTAATTTTAGTGTTAACTCCTTATTAAATGATGGTAGTAATGTAAAAGGATTCAAATTCAATCGTTTGTTCGTTTATCATTGGTGTATCTTTATTCGCTACTTTGCATTCATGTGTATGAAGGTAACCCCTCCCCCCATGTGATAACTTCCATCCTGAATGGTTTTCGCCACGGGGTAGTTTGAATTGGTACAGTCATATTCCAACACTCATTTATTACACATTCATGCAATGCTTTTGAATGAAAGATGATTCCCACTATGATCAGACATCTTCAGTTTGATGTCCATCGGTGAATATCCATAGAGAGCAAAATGGCTAAATGCGCCGGTTAAGTTGAAAGAGTTGAGTTTCACATTGGGGAGGCTTCAAGACACGCTATCCCTCTATATAGGGTAAATATTAAAAATAACCTTACTATATGCTTTGTCAATGGAATTGGGAGTTATTATTTCCCCATTCCATCTGATTATGATGCCTTGTTGCCTATTCTTATTTCCTCTTTTCGTATTTCAATAATAGATTGTTGGTTTGTGTGATGAGGAACTTCGATTAGTTCAACGTTGGACTGGGGGTCAAGTTGCAGACATTCTTCGCCAACAAGGAGCTACGGGAGGTGGTTTCCTAGTAACCGATCTGCATCGTGAGCAGAGTATCTTCGAATTGGAGCCAGGTCTAGCTGAATACATCAATGAGCGCATGCGTCGAGAGGGTTCAAATCTCTCTGGTGTGACCACACAATTCTTCGCTTGGGCTGCTATTGATCCTCAACAGTTGGCAGAACTTTTGCCAGGAGAGAGTGAAGCTTCGGAGGCTGCGGCAGCTAACCAACACAACCGAGCAGTTGCCATGGAAACAGAGGACAGTGGATCTGTCACCACACTCCACAAAGCTCCTTCCTCTGTGGCTACTCATATTCCTTTGGGTAGCAAAACCGATGACGATGTACGTTTTTTTGATCGGCATTTAAGGTTGCTTATTTTAAACTTATAAATGTGGAAAGACACCTAAATTTCTATATTGATTTTCTCTTATTTAGGTGTGTATAGAACGAACACGAATCTGAAATACTTCTCCTTAGATTGCCAAGGCCTGAGATATTTTAAGAACGGCGACACTTTCCTAACCATGTTTAAGTTATTAGGCGTCAGGCATTTGGCGTAACTAAAATTTTCAAAGTTAACTTAAAAGTTATGTCTTGAGATGTTGAAGTCCCGCTGTTATTAGCTCAATATGTTATAACACTTTAACCTTCAAAAATGATGGATCTGCATTTTCCATGGTTTTGCGTAGGCCAGTAACTTTTATTGTGTAAAATAGTAGAGTTAGTAATTTGAGAGTTATTTGGAAAATAAATGTGTATTTCTCAATTAGCCAATAGTCGATATCGTGGGTGAAGGTTCAGCCTGTTCTAGTGATGCACCAAGAGCAAAGAATGCGAAGAACGAGGTGAACTCATCAGCTACAGATGCTTGTGATTCCGAAATGCGAGTCGTAGAATCTGCGGGTCAAAAACACCATGAGAACAAGGAACATGGAAATTGTGCATGTAAGTCCTCGTTTATTTATTAAGTTAATTTAAGTCTTATACAACTTCACTAATCGAGGGAAGACTTATCGCTCCACCTCACATCTGAATATTGAGAGATATCTTGTATGATGATTCCCAATGACTTTCCTCTAAGGAATGTTTTAACTACCCTTACCTTCTATTAGCTTTAAAACCCGTAACCATATGACATTCGTAAATACCGCAGTTTGTTGCATTTAACGAAAGGTCTCCAATTTCTTTGTCTTGTAAGCATTCCCAATCCACTTTTCTGGGATCAACTTCCTCTTATTTATCCGTAGGCATCCTTAAAGCCTTCCGGATGTTATTAAAAGTCAAGAAAGCGTAGTTATGGTAAACAACATTATACTTTGTCGCAATGGTAATATTTGTGGAGGTGCATCGCCTCCTCGCGCGTGGAGAAAAAGGTGGTAGTGGCAGTTGGCACTGATTTCTACAGCATGCAAAGATAGCACATCTTGTATAACAACTTTTTTGCTGTATACCGCCCCTCCTCCTTCTCCTCTGTCACAAATTTTGTGTCTTTCTTCGAACTTTCTGCTGATCTTTTTCAGTCAAAGTTTCATCCACCCTCCTTCCACATTGATATTAATACGGGCTGACTTGACAAGATCTTTCTTTTCACTTCGAATGAGTTTAGACCTCCCACGATGATTGCTTTCAGTTCACATTTTGTCGAAGCTTTAGTAAAATTGCTTTCATAGTCATTTGTACAAAGTTGTTTTGATTTAAAGATGCTACAGGATGAGCCGTATCAAACATTGGAAGTAAGCCAATCGTGTTCGTTCAGCCGTTAGCGCTTAAATGTAACTAAAAGTGATTGCATCACCTATTGTGATTGAACTCTGAATTTGTCACAATGAATTTGAACTCATGACCCCCCAGTTAGTGTTAAAACATATGAACGAAATGATTATCATAATATAATTAATGGGCGAAGGAAGAGGAGATCCTTTTCCGTGCCGTACAATTAAATTATCTCCAAATTATATGAACTTGTACATCTAGTTATATGGAGTTTAAAATACTGAAACATTTCGGCCGATTGAAAGGCAACTCCCCAAAAATATCTCTAACCGTTTGCATATATTTAAGGGCGTTGCAGGTTATCAACAATCCGGGTAATTTGAATATGGTAAGATTTGACGATGTACAATAATTGAAGTAAATTTCGATTTCGAGGCTAACAGCGCCAAGAACTTCCTTGTCTGATTCCCATGCCAACTTCAAAATTAGAGACGTTTATTACACAGACTTCATCATATATTCTATTTTCTGTGTTCCATCTTCAACTAAAACAAAAACACCATTTTGTTTGATGGCTAGGACAGTCAACATTGAATTATAGGAATACTACCTGATCTTCCATATCTTTGCTTTTGACATTTATTGCAATCATTTCACTTAGTTATCAACTTCCAATTCGTGTTAATTCTAAAGAACAGAGCGCTCTCGAATGCAGAACTCGTATTCCTACAGGCGCGCGTAGATGAAGGCATTTTTATGTCCGTCCCACCGCCTGTCAGTAAATTTAAAGCCTTGTCATCAATCACTAACATATGCAAACGCGTATCTACACACCCATCATTCGCGAGTTCGCCTGTGAAGTGTTGTGTACCTCTAAAGATGCCACATATAATGCCTTAGTTAGAGGGCTTTGTGTCGAAGTGTATGAGGGGTGAGAGAGCATGAATTTTCCAGTTGATTGACTTCGCAGACGTTCTGTTATATTGCAAGTTGTTTTTTGGTTCCACCAAGCCTTTTAGCACGCTTTTCACTCAGCTTAATCTCATTTCATTTTCTGAATGTGTTCAAATATAAAAGTAAAAAAATGTTTCCTTAATTGATTTAGATGAAAAAAGGGAAGAACCGACTACTTTTCGTAATGGTAGCAGCATTTTGAATTCAGCGTCACCTTTAGATATCCTAGCAGAGATGCGTTTTCGACGGGCAGGTGGTACATCCACCACGGGGGGTTTTATTCCAGGTCGTTTCGGTGGAGGTTCTTCTTCTCTACCTGGCACTCCTGGCTCATCAATTGGCGGCGGTGGTGACTCGGCCCCATGTACTCCCCTTGCTCACCTTTCTCTATCTCCCGCGAGCCTTGAAATGCATCCCTCTCGGGCCATTGAATGTCTAGATGTTCACTTGTCATTCGAAGCAGGAAAACTCCTCCCTCTAGCCATTTGTGATCGACTAAAGCATGGTCGACACTTCACTTTCCTCAATGCTAATTATCCTGAACATGCCATTACGCTTGTTCCTCCTGGTGTTACTGGAGCTATGGTCACACCAGATGTCCCCTTCGTATCCCGTGGCTCTTGGCTTCAGATCTTTCTGCCCAAAGACTTCCTAGAACAACTTGAGCGCCAGTTCTCTATTCTCCAGTATCCTGATGAAGTGATTCTTCCTTTGGTCTTTCGATGGCCTGAACGCCGTTTCCGCGTGTGTATTCTGGATGCAAGTAATACCCAAACTGGCAGACAATCATCTATTCCACCACCAGTTCCACAAACTCATTCAATGATGCCGCCTCGGTCAATGCCTGGTTCTGCGCCTTCGTTCACGCCGACCTCACCGATCCCTCCTAATCTTTTCCCTCCGGGTTGTGTACCTCCACCTCAAGTCCTTGCAGCGTTCATTAATGCACAACAAGGTCGTGGTGGTTTCATGGGATCAGCGTCGCCTCAAGATTCGGGCGCTTCGAGCAGCCAGAGTCCTCCATTTATGCCCCCTCCTTTCCCTATGGGAAAAGCGTCCCCAGCATCAGCGCCTCATCTTCCATTTTCACAGCCTGCACAGGCACCACCACCCGCAGCTTCTTCTAATATTATGGAAGCTATGTTAGCGTCATTTATGAGTCTCTATGGCAACAAGCCTGCAGTTGGAGGAGGTGGTAGTGGTAATGCTGGGGTACTTCCCTTTGTACCACCTTTTGATACTCACCAACTCCAACCAGGACCATCTTCTGATCCATCTAATACACGACCTCCTTGGCAATAAAAGACGAGGGTTGACATCGCCCCTCTTACTCTGCATGTTTTTATTCTCATCCAGTTACAAGCAAACAAAGACGCTCATAAATAGAAACGGTGACTATATTATTAAACCCGGTATTTGTAAAATATATGGTAAGAACTCGTTTTTTTCGGAGACGTTAGAGATGGTGATGATGAGAATCGCATCATTTCACTCTTTGCGCCCCTTCTCTATCTATGAATAAAGTTTTCTTTTCGATTTAATTTGGCCTCTTTGTCGAACTTTATAAACAGAAGGGTCAGAGCTGAGCTCTTAATTTTCTATTTGGTAAATGAAGATTGTTGTAGTACGAATTATCGATTGAAATAATAGGCATTTGCTTTGTTTATTTAAACCGCAATTATTCTACACTGGAAGCATTTATCAGGAGAAATCGTGAGTGCGTTAGGTTTACTACCTATGGTATAGTTTTGCATTTTTAATCCTGCGAAGGAAAATACTAAAATAGTCAATGAAAGGAGAAGTGTGGGGGTTCCAAAAGAGCCCAAATTAACTGCCAAATATCAATTAAATCATAATTCATTCGATTATTTGACCCAGGTTTCACTCTCCTTAATAAATTAGTAATATATATTACTGTTGCGGATATTGCACAAGTTAGCCTTCACTTAGCCTCAACAGTCTTCGCTGGCAAAATCCCGAAGTATGAAAGTTCTCCCGAAATTAGCTATTCCACCTCTGCGTATAGGGGAAACAGAACTTATCCAGTGTATACGGTTTAGTTCACCTTACGGCCATTGGCACAAACATTGGCCATTAAAATACATTCAGGGCTAAGCTATTATATTTAAAGCAAATTTCGGTTGCTAGTTGGCTGAGAGTGTGCCTAAGATTCCCCTATTCATCCTTGGTAGGGTTCTGGACTCCACGGCAATTTCATCTTCCGAAGTTACGAAATTTACTATACATATATACCATTTCCATAAACTTCATTTTGAAGAGGAGGGCGATGTAAAGAAGAAGAAGACTTTATTGTGTTTAATCCAAGAGGGATTAATTTTAGAATGAACGGATTAATTATAGTCTTTTCTATGAGTAGGCCGAGGGAGGCAACACCACCCACACCAAAGTTAAAGGGAGTGAAAGCCAGCTCTTAAATCACTGAAAGTTGAAAAAAATAGCGTAAGTTGTAATAAACAAGTAATTACGCACGGATGTCAATCAAGTAATATGTCAAACGTGACTATATTCAGTTCCTCATATTTGTTTCTGTTCTGTTCGATGCGAGATTTTATTTCGGTCAAAGTTTATTTCTTGATACTTTGCCACCAAAACAATATTTTTTGAATAAAATGGAAAATTAAATCTCGATACATACCTGAATTTTTTATTAATCGAATGTCGTCATTGTATCATTTGGTTTTGCATCATAGTTAATTGTTTTGTCTTAAGAGGACCTGATAAACTTAAGATGAATAATCAACAACTCAACTAAAAATATCAGCATATCAGATTACTTGTGGGCAAAAATCGATAAATCTCGTGGGAATTAATAGTTAATAGTAAAATTCAATAAAGCCGGCTAACATTTTTACAGGGTATTGGAGGTAATTGCTAAAAAACAACAAATTTTAATGTGAATACTTATGACATTTGGAATTTCTGGTAGATAATTCCCTGAAATCATTCATAAAGTTATATTTGACTACTAATGTTGACACATCAGTGAAGCCAGAATAAAGAGAATGGCCAATGCTCTTTATGAGTGTCTAATAAGGTGAAAAAATTTACCTTCGTTGGGGAGGGGGGGGGGGGGGGGGGCCACATACACTCATACAGAAAAAGTCGATAAAATAATAATTAACTTATGACTACAAACTGCCAAGAACTGACTGTATATCATAGTCGCCCACTTCCAATGTATTCACCTATCCATTTCTTCGCATTTATGTCAGCAACTTTTGTAACTGTGAATCAATTTCTGTTCAAACTCTCGACTTTCTGCGCTTTTGATGTTCCTCTATAATGTGAAGCTCGAAATCAAAGAAGGGGTGCCATTTGATATAAATAAATTCCTTTAGTGTCCGAAGGCAAAATTCACAAATTGGCCAAACTGAGAAAAGAAATGCTATAATATGAATATAGGCAAAGGAACACAGTTTAAAGTGATCGATTTCAAGTAATTCATTATAATGCATTTGAAATAATAAATTTATTAAATAGATTTGATATCGCAATAATGAAAGAAAAAAATTGGAATAATTCATACAGTAAATATCATACTGCTTAATTAATCATTATAAACGTGAAAAATATATTTTAAATTACGTCAATCAAATATCTGTAAGAAAAATAATAAATTATATATTTGTTTAAATTACCTAATTACTTTTCCACCATTTGATCTCTAATTTTAGGCGTTCCTTTTGCATCGGCTGTGGCGTCGCTGTTTTATTTCCATTTATGCTATGCTAGAAAATGCCGTATAATAGAGTTGGAAACTTTCGTCATGCAGACCCTCAAAAAGTTCGTGAGGTATGGAAGATACTCGACTCGAACAGAGGCCAAAGACAATCTGTCCCCATTGACAAATTAGTGAGACCACTACGAAAGGTGTTGGATATGAAAGAGGAAAGCATACGACTATTATTGACTGAAATTGAAGGTGACGGCCTTATTATTAAAGGTAGCAATTCTTCTGGAAAAGGTTGTGATGTTTATCGTCTTCCGGACTTTCATCACCCCTGTCCACGTCAACAGCACGATTGGTATTGTTTCCGATGTCACAAGCCAGGTGAACTCCTACATTGTAGTGACTGTTTCCGTTCTTATCACTCCGAATGCGTAAATGATGATCAACATCCGAATAATCATGCTCGAAATCTTCGATCCTCTGGTTCAATAACTGACGATGATGATGACTTTACCTGCCCCGTGTGTGAATCCCGACCCAAATGCGAGTTCTCTCGCAAGCAAATTCGTAAACTCCTCGAGTTTGCTACTCATAATCTGCGAAAACAATCTTCCTGGAAGAATTTTAATCAAATTGGTTATAAGGATGACATTAACAAAAACGAATACATTGTATATAAATATGTGGACATGAATTTACTTGAGCGCAAAATCAAGGATGGTCGTTATACCGCTTTGGAATTTTTCGCGATGGATGTTGAGCTTCTCGTTCATGATGTCTGTCTCCTTTCTGGTCCATTCAGTACAGATGCTGACGAGGCACGTTTTCTTCTCCGTTCTGTAAACAATGAAATTACTGAGATTCAACTGTGTACTGACTGTTACATTAATGCCAAAGCCCGTGTTAGTGACTTCATTACTAAACCCTGCAAACCTCCCCATGAGCTTATCTGTGCTTGTAATCGATCTGCAGCAGGAGCCGGTTTATTTGACAATGCCAACATTAAACACTGTTATTGGCCTGCCAAAGTTCTACTGGAAAGAGATGATGGCTATGAGGCGAGTGAACTGTTTTATTGATTTATGATTCCTTGTCACATCAATTGTAATCGTTTTCGTTGTTTTGTAGATTCGTTTTTTCGGTGGAACGCACGAGCGAGCTTATGTGAAGAAGTCGAACACAGCTCAATTCGTTTTGCCCGAAGATGATCAGGCATTTCATCGAAGGTCTCTTGCTGGTGCTCATAATGTTCCTTCTAGCAACATTGAACGAGCCTGGAATGAAGTGAGAAAGCTTCAGGCCAATCTTGAATCTGGTTATTACTCACATTCGTCTGGGGAATCTGATATGCCCCCTTCTGATGAAGAATATACAGATGAAATTTACCTCCGTCCAAGGCGACGCAACGCTGTATCACTTAATAATAGTCCTCGTTCCTCTGCTACCGCTAATTCTATGAAATTTAAGAATAATAAGGGGCGAGTGTATGTTTTGAGCTCGTGTCTTACCTATTTTAATGCATTTTATTGATATTTTTTAACGCTAGGTTATGCTGGAAATTTATTTTGCTAATTTTTAGAAACGTATTTTTGCTACAATTTTTAGTTTATCAGAAAGATGTTGGCTTTTCGGCTTACCTTTAGCCATTTAATATTACTACAAGAAATTTATTTTATTGCCACTCATGTTCATTTTTTAATTGCTGCTTCTTCGTATGCTGCTACTTTAACTGTAGCTTTTATTAGGTGGTCGTTTATGAGGGCTATGGAGGGGGAGAGGGGGTAGGGGAGGGTGTTTTACGATTAGGGTTATGGTTTTATAACTAAGATCTTTGTTGATTTATTACTCATATTAAAGTCCTAATCGATAGAATTTAAACCAATCAGAACTCCTGAAAAGGGATTTTATTGAAATTGTATTATCAGGTTGTATTTTCTATTAGATTTTTGTCTTGATTCATTCTGTTTCCTCTCACTAACCAAAAGATGTCGCCTTGAAGTTGGATTGGATTTAAATTTATCTCTCAATTGCGGTCTTGTCTATTATCTTCAGTGGTTATTTTCGGAGTATCTGTACTTTGGTGTTTTCTTATTTTAAGCCAGTTCAGTGTTTGTTGGCACACTAGTCCACCAGGTTCATTGTTGGTGACTAAACTGTACATTTCGTAATTTGGTCAGGGATTTTAATTGTTCGGAAAGCGTTCTCAAGTACTTGTCTTTGATAATCGGGGAGTCTTTCTGGCGTGGTTTGCCATCCTGTCCACTTGATATACATCGATGGTATTCGAAATCGTGATTTCTTGTTCTTAATTTCAGTTATACAGTTGTCTGAACTATCTGGTATTATTATTTATTTATTTCCTAGGTTCTTGTCCCATGAGGATCCGCTCAACACGATTCACGAGTTTTTAAAATGAATAAGCACTTTTCCTTTCCGACACATTTATTGTTTTTGTTTTTCGCCGCATTTTCCACTTTTTGGTGATCGACTAGTTTTTTTTACCTACTTTTTTGTTTAATAGGTTTATGCACAAACCCTACCTTTGAGGAATTGCTTAATATGCAATTAAACTTATATGACCTCTTAAATATCTTAAAACTTACGCGAAACAATAATGCAATAGCCCCATAACTCCTGTCTATTCCAATGCTTCAGGTTAGAAAGAAATGTGATGTTTCCATTATTAGTAGTCTTTGAGGTTATTTGCTTGAGAACTACGAGCAAATATTTGACGTGGGAATTCAGACCCAGTCTATCATCTTTATCATTTCTTCGAATGGTTTTTTTCAATTTATCTTGTCGAAATTCCAAATGTTATATCTCCTGTAAGCAACCTGACTAACCGTTACTCCGCTTACTGTCGATACGTTGAGTTGAAAGTTTTTCTTTTGATTTTTAAATCAAGTTACTTCATAATGTGAAATAAGTGCGCCGTGAATAACTGGCTGGAAATAGTTATCGGCTTCCTTTCCTTTGATTCATTGTTTGGGAAAGAGAGATACAAAGGCGCTTGTTTTTTGTTGCTAGGTTACAGTGTACCATCATGGCTAGTCCAGTCGATAGTTAACATTACCACGCCTATATGTGTTTCGTCGCTTATTCGTTCGCTGCCTGTATCTCGGCCGTAAGAACATTCGCGAACACTCCTCTCAACTTTCCCTAATGCAACCTCGCGACCTAGTGTCAGGCATGAGTCATCTTCTGCCCCGGCCAACATTTCCATTTACGCGTTGCCCACTTCTCTCTCTCACTCCCTGCGTAATATTAATAAGTTTGTAGTTGGGAAAAATTTATTGTACAATCGGAACCTTATCTCTCTTTCCTACAAGATATTAATTACTTGAGTGTAGCTCCGTCAAGCTTTGGCGAACTTTATTGTGTAACAGAGGCTGCGGCTAAAAACTTGTGATAGGGTAGCAGCTTCATAACTAATAAAGTAAAAGAATTGGCTTTAGGTAAAAAGCAAGTGTAATTCCTTGATATTTAACTGCAGGTAGATTTTGTAAGTGGAAAGCCTTTTCTATACTATTATTGGCGCTCTAATTGTTTAAGGCAAATTGTTAATATTGGGCTAAGAATGCGTTTCTGAGTTTTACTTTGCAAGTACTTGCATACTCTTCTTTGGGAATGTAAACTTCGTTTGATTATAATTTGACATCAGAAGCATTCATAAATTCAGAGCTATCACTTAATTTCCTGTATTTGCTCATAGGGTATTTATGGAAGAGCACCGTATTTTTGGGTGAGGGTGGAGGATTAACTACCTCTCCTAAACAAAGGTCTTCTGACCCACATTCCGGTCTGTAAAGTTAGGACATTGTGATAAAAGTCGCCTTAATTTGGGAAGCCGGCCCAAGTACAAGTTCTTTGGTTTTGTAAAAAAATGATCACTTCATTATTGTGAACATACTCGCTTGTTTTAAACCTTCATTTTGCACTATATCCGAAAGGTGGTCGCTATGGACTTTCGACAATTGGACTACTTAAAATAAATCATAGTCTTGCTAACTGTTGCAACGTGTTGGTATCAATCTCCTACTTTTCTTTTAGACGAAAGAATTCGATTTCAAGTGAAGACAGTTTTCGATCATCTTCCCCTTCCTCAGTCTCCGATGGAGTTCCATCTGATCACTCCAGCAGTCGTTCCAGTAGCGTCGTCACCAGCAGTACTCGTATTCGTGCAGCCGCCTCAAATCACCGAAGACGAAAATCTGGAAGCGGCAAAACCTCCCTTCCTTCAAAAACCACCACTTCAAAACTCTCATCCGCTGCAGCAAGACAACGTTTCTCCGCCGAAACAACTTCTCCTGTTGCAGCTGCCGCCCTCACCGCTTTGGCAGAGACTAAAGCCGCAGTAGCAGCTGCATTTAATAAAAAAAGTAACTATGGTGGTGGTGATGGTCTCTTAGACACTTCAACAACAATCCAACAGCGTAGAGGTCGGGGTCGTCCCCCAGGTTCTGGAGCTAAAAAGCGCAAACCAAAATCATCTTCTCCTTCTCTCACTTCCCTTTCACACTCGGATGCCTCTGATCGTGAGAGGAATGAATTTAAGGCAGTTTCTATCCGCAACAATAGTTCCATTCTCGGAAGAAGGAATAGGTTGGATGCTTTATTATCATCTTCCAGTGACTCCCCTGATGATGATGGTGATGATGTCAAGATGCCTGGTTCTTTACGAGGAAGGAAATCTGTTTTGCCTCGAGGCAAGCGAACTACTAATGGTCATTTGACGACTTTAAAAACTTCTCCTCAGAGTAATAATAACAATTCAAGGTACTCAGCAGGCGGCAGCACTGGAAAGCGCCCACGTGGCAGGCCTCCATCCTCCGGTACACGAGGAGGTGCTAGTCGAAAAGGAGGAGCACCTACTTCTCGTAAGAAGATGAAAACCAGCCCCCCTCCTTCGGATTCCGATTCTGAGTTGACTGATCGCTGCTCGACTACTTTTCCCTCGAGGCGAGATCAGACAACTACATCCCCGGTGGTTGTACAACCCGTTAAACCTAAACAACACCCCAAAATGTCTTCAAGTGCTGCTAGTTCTTCCTCTGAGTCTGGGAATTCGTCTGATGAGGGTTCAGGGGATAATAACAGACGCCATCCTCTTCTGCGAAGACCTGCGTTTGCTCCTCCCTTATCCTCTGCACAACCTACCGGATTGACATCAGGTCCTAGTGGTGGTGGCACTAGTCAAGCAGCGAATTCTGCCACCGTAATGGTAAATACATTTGGTGCTAGTGGAATGTCGGCTAGTTCGTCTCTTACCCAACAGCAGCTGAATAAGTCAGGATTCACAGCTCTTGAAATGGCAGGACGTTCTAGTGGAGGACTGGGCTCGGTTCCCAGGTCACATCTCCCCCCGAATAAGAGGCTTGCGGCAGCAGCTGCAGCGGATTTAAAGTTGGATGCTACCCCGCCTACACCCTCTGCAGCTATGTTATCGTCTGCTGCAATGATGCCTGCCATCCATCATCCCAGTGGCTTTTCACCTAGAAGGCTGGCAAATAAACAAGTTCAGGTGCGTTTCTAAAATTACTTTTGCTTCAATTCTTGCGTCGATTTACTTTATGCATTATTGGCAGATTTTTTAATCCCATTTATTGAAAAGCCTCATTTTTGCCCATGACAGAAACCCAGCGGAAAATCTGACGGGTCATGTGAGACTGTTGATGTGTATTTGTTCTCTGCTCCATCTTGAACCCATTTTTACCAATCGGTTAGGCTCCTTAAATCTAACTAACTTCGTTTGTCAACCTATCAGATCCCATTTGTTTATTGCCGTTTGTGTAGCCTGATAGGCCCTTGTTTTGGACATGTTTAGCGGAAGTTAGGCTAACGTTTCTTCTCTTCAAATTGCAGAGTTATCAACCTCACACCTTTACCACGAAATGCTTTAAGTTCCACACTTAAAACTTGAATCCTGCCGTTCGAATTTATGTTCACAATATTCGGCGTTTGATTTTTGGCGAATAGTTGATCATGTCATTTCGATTAATTCCAATCTATGCACCTCGTGGTCATTTTCTTGGCAACTTTAATAGTTGTAAAGGTCTTCTTACAAGTGTGATCTAAATATTGTTGTTAGCAAGTGGCCGGAGGTCAAAATATGAAGTGGTTTTCAAGTCAAGTGCTAGCAATGGCGCTGGTTTTCTTGAACGGAGGAGATTTTGATTTTCATGTAACTTCATTACCCGACTCAGTTGCCTGATATCAAGACGAGGAGGCTAGCATCTGAATACCTCGAGTTTACAGAAGGGATTGGGGTCATACCACTTCCATCTTCATTTTACTAGGGCCTTTGTTTCCTTAAAATCACAATATAATTAAACTCAATATGTTATGTAAATGCTATTCGGTGATATAACATTTGATCTCATTATTGTTTGATGCATTCTACCCCTTGATTGGTGGAAAGGCTTCTGCTGCTTTATGCTTTTCATTGAAATAGTTTGTTTTCATTCTAGAATAGTTTTTCTCATTTCAATTTTATTATTATTTAAATTAACAACGAAAGTTTGGAGCATATTTATTACACGCTTTTAGATGTTTTTAAATGCATAAAATTAGGCTTCTTCGCCTGAGTTCTATTTTTCACGTTTGATGTTATTATTCTACTTCATCATATGACACTGTTTTTTTGCTTTAAGGTTATCTTTGTAATGAAATTGATTTTACGCATTTCTATGCCATTTTAAATTCATTTAGTATTAGCTGGACATTATTATTTCTCTTTTCAGCCTTTTATTTTCATTGGCTCCGCTGCAAAATGATTGAAAGTAATTACTAAAATTATTAATTATTATTTTATAAATTTGGAAAATGTAAATAACCTATAAATGGGGTTTAAGTGGAAGTTTCATTCGTCCTAACGCTCATTGAGCCCCCGTTTTCTGACTTTGTACTCTACAGTCTTTTCATTCCATCAGCTGGTTCATTATGTGTCGCCGGTAATTTGACTTTTTTTAAAAAAAAAGCATTGAAAATTTTTGCGGAAATCATTGCTTTTCAGCCATTGTGCGTATTGGTTCTTACCTTTTTTCTATCATAGCTCGTTATATCGTTTTGGAATGTATCTATTGTCCACGCGTAGCGAGACTTTTTTTTAATTTTACTTATTCTGAGTTGATAGCTATTGGTTGTTGTGATGCTGTAAGATTCATTCGATATTACTCTTACTTCTTCATTTGGACTAAAAAATAGATAAAGTTTGCTAGATTTTTAAGGTGCCTTGGAAGGTATTTTAATAAAAAGTTCAAACTTGCTTTAACTGACCGCATTCACTAGAATATCTTTTAGGCCCATTGGAGTTACAAATTTTATTCGCGAGAAATGTGTTTAGGACCTCAATTGTCCATACATCTTCCTCAGTCCTTAACGATTTTTTTAAGTTCATCTTTATTATTATTGAAAAATTAACAAAGAGGTGTCCAAAAGGGTAAGTGGGATGTTCGTCAGCCAGTTTCTAAATCCCCCTTCATTTACGATAATAAGTCCTTTCCAATTTTTAAAAAGTGGAATCATGTGCAAGCAACCTTGAAACGCCTCCTGATTGCTTTATTGTGCCATCTTGTAGACAACTGGCAGCGATGAAGAAGTCAAACAGCATGGTTGTGGACGTTGCAAAGAGAATATGGAGGCGATTCGACGACAGGCTATAATAGAACAACAGCGTCTCATCGCCGAACTGGAGGCTCGCCTGTCCGCCGATCATGCAGCTGCCCTCTCCACGGTCGTGGAACGCGAACGTCAGGCTGCCCGTGAACAGTTGGAAGCAGCCGAAGCGCGTTTTAATGACACCCTCGTACAGACTAAGCGTCGCCAATGGTGTCGTAATTGTCTCAAGGAGGCTATCTATCATTGCTGTTGGAACACGTCCTATTGCTCTATCAATTGTCAACAAACTCACTGGCACAAGGAGCATAAACGCCAGTGCCGCCGCAAACGCTAACATACTCCTCTCTATGTCCGTCCTTGCATCCCCTTGCATTTTGTAAATATCCCTGACTCAGTAGTAGTTTGTATTTATATAAGCAGCAACGACACCAGCTACAGATAACTACGTCCACACAACACACACTTATGTTTTTCCCTACTCTCGCTATAGGTATTGTACATTATCCCTCTCTCTCTCTATGTGTCTGTGTTATATTTTGCATTGCTTCCTGCTACTCTATTTGTCAAATGTCCCAACGTATTTCGTCATCACCTTTACACCCAGTCACACCGTGTAATGCATATTTAAGCGTATTACTACTATTAATATCAATAAATGTGTTTTTATAGGAGGCTTGTGTTGGTGTTTTTTTTTGTAGAGACTGCTACTAATGCCCTGTCCATAGGCGCCAATAGATTAGGTGGAGATTGATGTACATAATTTATTGCTACTTGTTGCATTTTAGGCGGAGGTTGCGAATGATGCGTTAGAGTTCACATTGGGGATCGCTCCTTCGGGTCTGGAGTTCTGTTTCGATAGAAGGGGGTTCCTTAATGTGAGTACTTCTTTGCTAGCTTCTGTTGTATGCTGTTAATTGATGGTACTTCTATTGTCTAAACTGTAATTTTACTACTTTAAATACTTGGGATCACGTGTAAACGCAATAAGGGAAATTGACATTATGTTTTTAAGTTGAAAGTAGTAATCTTAGAGTATCGCGAATAACAACCTAGTGGAATTCAATAATTCGCAACAGGTGTTGGAAGCACTCACCTTGCACGCAGCTCTCCACGTATCAACACGTTTTGCCAAATCTTTACAAATTCGATTGGCGTGATTTCCGCAATCGTATTCCAGATGTTCCTTTTCAACTCTTCCTTGATGTTTTACGTACTCCGTAGGTTGTAATGTTTACATCACCCTTACTTTGTACGCTGGTATATGTAACCGTTTCAACATGTTCTGTCATGGCTCTCTTTTGATGTTTAGTTGAGAGGAGAGACGTCTGGTTGACCTCTTTGGGCTTCTTAGCAGCGTTGATCAACATTTTGAGTCTTTTCCACTGAACAAACCGCATGCACACAGTTACATTTGGCATTAACGACTGAACCTGTGAATCTAAATTTGGCACTCATTTTCTGGACAACACTTTTAGAAGTAACAACTGTTTGGGGATATCTTGGAATGTGTTGCATTCCAAATAAGTTTCAATAATGAACACTTTTTGTTCAATGGAAAACGGGTTTATGCAAATGACAACATAAAACCGAGCAACACAATTGAAAAGAATGACCGTTGGACATCACGTGATCTCGCACAATCGCTCAATATCGCGTTTGGTACACAGGACCTCCTTTTATTTTGGCCACTTTGTGAGGCTCTAAGCTAAATTTCTGTTTCCATGTGAGACTGCTCTTTCACTGGTGTACTTTTATTGGGTTTTATAGTTAGTCCCCACTTCATTTTATTACTCAAGGGAGCCGAATATGAAGAAGAGGCGGCAGGGCATTGATCAAATATGGCGAAAGTAGAGGGTGTGCGATCAATAAAGCCTACTTAATAACTGTGCTTCCATTTGTAGTCAGCGTTTGGAGGTTTTGTGAATTCCCTTCCCCCTTCTCCCTATTCTTTTGTGAGCGTTTACGCCTAATTTTTAAACACGTGGCTGTCCATTCTATACTGATTGAATTTAGATGTTGCTCACACCATTGGTACAGCGAGCATCATGTACATTCGATTCCTAATTATTGATGAAAAATGATGCCGGAAATTGAGTGAAATCGATTTTCAAAATGGGCTTGGAAGTGTATGTCGCATCTTAGCGTCCATTATGTTAATGGTCAAAGGATCAACATACATTCAGCGATTGGAATGATCGATCACTGTGAAGAAAACTTGTGAGTGGATAGGTTCCTGGATCCAATAGTTAGTACCATTTTATGGAGGTTGAGGGAAGGCGTCTAAACTCAAACGACAGTCGAACATAAGGTTTGTGCCACGCTTATGGAAATGGTAAGCCAATGAAAAGTGACGCTAATAACCAAGGTCAAGAAGACGTTAACGTCTGATATAAATGCCACGAGATAATAATGCGCCTCACAGGATGGAAAGGAACGAGTTTTCCCAATAATATAGAGTTTAGAACTTACTTTTGCATCTCTACTTTTTCCGTGATAGGATGACTTCGATGAAGATGCATTCATTTCGGATCGTCTGAAGATGGGTATCTCACTACATACCCTTCATGATAGTCTGTTGCAGTATTTTAACATCTTGAAGAACAGTCTAGTGGAGTTGATCAATCGGGACTATGCTGATTTTGTCAACCTATCGACTAATTTGGTTGGACTGGATAAAATCATTAAGAATCTGGAAGAACCGTTGATTGATGTTCGGCAGCGAGTTTCTGTGAGTTACATTTCCTTTTTTTCTCTACATTGAGCTAGGTTTTCGAGCTATCGTTGAATTTGCTGTTTTGCAGAATGCGCTTTCAGAGATCCGGGAGGCGAAACGAGAGTTTGAATTCAACCTCGAAGAACGGAAGAAGCTGCGGGACAAAAAGGTACAGACTTTCCTTTTTTGTCGTGAATTTAAAGAATTTCGTCTTGTACCTTAAGACGAAGTGATTTATTAGGAAGGGAGATCATGGGAATATAATTGGATGAAAAAATAACCTTTGAAAAATCAATACGTGCTCTTTCAATGTGCTTTCAATCTTGATCAATCATTATTTGTCAAAGTAGTGCACGTCCAGCGAATAACCTGAACAAATGCCCAAAAATGTATTATGTCTATAGTTGCTCTTGAATTGAGTAATGACAAAAAATTGTGCTCTTTATAGAAAGGCGTCTTTCATCTCCCATCTTGGGTTGAGTGTGTGGCATCAATGTACGCCCTGATGCGTTACCCAAGACCTTCGCACCCCCCCCC